GGACGGTAGCTTGGCTTTTGGCACTGTTCTAAGATTGCTTCCTTATCCAAAGTAGAACATTATTTCAGCAAGGAGGTTTTAAATCTCCCATTTATCCTAATTACAGACTGAGTACAAATCAATCGAATAAGCCAGTCTGTTGTCTGGATTGGCCATCACAAATGAGTGGCCCCTTGCAGCCAGGCCATGCCATCCACACAGTATAGAGTAGAATTAAAGGGACCCTATTTTTACCAGAAGAACTACTGCTTATTGTGTTTGTTCTAGTAATAACTAGGCTTTTTTGCAGTAAACACTGTCTTTTCAGGGAAAAGGTTTACATTACAGCCTAGTGATAACTCCACTAGCCACTCCTCAGGTGGCTGTTAGAAGTGCTTCCTGGAGCAGTGCTGCACAGTGTGTCCCACTGAACGCCTTTCAATTCCTATACGTTTAGGAGAACATCGATGGAAGGGACATTCTAGCGGTGTTCATGTCGTTGAGTGTCCGATTTGGGTTCCATGCACCTGGACAACCCAACACCGGTCAGTGTGTTCGTGGCTAAAGATGGCCGCCGCCATGTGTTCGCATATACGAACGATGGCCACCCAGCTTACCACTTAGAACGCTGTGGTTAAACATAAGTCAGGGAGGTTAATGGGCTGCACTCTCCTGTTCTGGGTGGTCCAACTGTTCGGTAACCGAACAGAATAAGTACAGTCCGTTCGGCAAGCCCCAAATACCGAACCATAACAGGGAAAAGGCACGAACAAAGCCTTTCCACAGTCCTGAACCAAGGTCTAATACATGGGCCATAGTCCTGGGGCAAGAGGCTGGCAAGCAGGCCCCTCCGAGAACCAGTGGCGAGGTTACTTTTGCCACACAGACCTACAGCAACAAGCCACGAGAATGAACTTCAGTAGTTACGGCGCTTAGAGTGCTCTTTTACATTGTCCATACCTATGTATCTCATTTAAGAGCTCAAAGAAAGCTTTCTTTAACGTTGTACCTGTAACCTAACAGGTAACACAAACTACTCCCCATATTGGGTTTTAATATGCCTACTTCATACAGCATAAAATCGAAATCTATGTCTGATCTTCAACAGGGGAGAAAATTCAGCACTGACAGTGTTATACAATAAGGCGTTATTTGCCACGCGATATGGGAGACATTTTAGGATAAAATATTCCACTTGGCAATGTAGATTTTTCTTCCAATAAGGTTGTTTTGCTTTTAGCTATGAAATTCACAACTCACACTTTAGTGATTAACCTGGTGAGTTATGTGGAGTTACAAGGAGATCAGCTATATTTTCAGCCCAGATATTTCATCCCCATTTGGTTGGTAACTCAACACAACTCGAAAAGGCTGTACTGTCGTTTATTTGCAGCCCTATTTCCACAGAGTATGTGTGAGAATGGGGACTGTGCTCTGTGAGTAATGCAAAACAGATTTGTATGAGGCCCTTGCAGTAACTGGCACAGATCACTAAAATATAATCATTAACATATTGAGCCCCTGCTCTTTATTTTTCAGGAATTCCTACCTGATTAATAGAGTGCTTCGCCCAACCCAAAGCAAGGACTGTTACGGTGCTAAATTAGGTACAGTTTATCTGTTTTCTTTTTGTATAATTCTTTATTTTTGTTGTGCTTTGTAAGGTGCACAACTTGCCATAAGACAGGTCATCAACAGGTCATTAACATTGGTCATTGCATTGTAACAGAACATATCAGTTATACAGCACATTTTATAATATAAATGATAATCTCACTTGTACAGTACAGAAACTGTAGTCAGCCGTATTCAAAGGGTGTTAAAACCTACGGTCCTCTGGGTTAATAGGGGAGGGGGGGAGGGGGAGGGGGACTGCTTGAGGTACCTATGACATACTGCCATGGTCATATCTGTTTTCTCGTCCTCAGTCTGCCGTCATTGGTAGTGAATTGTACTAATTTTAAAATCAAAATCAGAACTAATATGAAAAGTGGTTGCTGTCAGCCTGTGTTACTCAGCGTCTGCCTGTTGATGGGAGCTGCTGGTCGTATTAGGCACGGTGGGTAGGTAAATTGGGGGGTATACAACTCTGCAGAACTAGTGTAGCTACTACTAATGGAGCCAATTTAGATTAAGATCTTAAAAGGATAGATAAAAAATAAATAAATGTGAAAACCATAAAACCACCAAACAATATTTAGTGTCCAGCTAACACCTAGAGAGAAAGTGAGCTTGCATGGAGCTTGTGTGGTGAGATGGACAAGCTGATGTGTTAGTCCTCTTCACGGTGGCGGGTGGCGGGATCCCCCTGCGGCCTCTCTTGGGACAAACGGAGTAATATGGTTTACTGACCAGGAGGGTTGTTGCGGCAATGGAAAGGTGCTCACGGGCAGTCCCAGGTCCCGTAGGAAACAGATAGGTGAATATGTCTTGCCCCCTCTTTCTACCGTCAGCTTGTGTATGCCCCATTTATATGGTACTTTGCTTTCCTGGAGGTGCTGGGTGAGTTGGCGTAGTGACCGTCGCCAGGTGATGGTATGGCGGGATATGTCCCTATAAAATGTCAGTTGGTGCCCCTCAAAGGTAGTGCTGGGGGTATCTTTGGTTGCTGTCAGAATAGCGCCTCAGTCTGAGTCCCGGACAAGTTTTACAAGAATGTCTCGTGATGACTCTGGAGGGGCTCTGGGGGCCTTATGTAGTCGGAAGCAGTGGTCCATAACAACTTGTTTCGCCTGCTTTGGGGGGGAGTAGTGTAGCAAGGAGTCTCCGGATAAAATGTGGCAGTTCTCCAGCAGTTATTATCTCAGGGACTCCCATAATTCTCACGTTTCTTGCTTTCATCCTGTCCTCCATATTAGCCAAGTGGTTGAGCACGTCCTCATGCCTCTTCTGCAGCGAGCCTAGGGCAGTATCTGTGGCTGTTTGGGCCACTTTCGTTGTATCCATGTCATCCTCCAATCTGATAATCCTGTCAGTGAGGGTGGCCACTTCTTCCCTCACCCCAGCCACATCTGCTTGGAACATGGCCCTTATCTCATGCAAAAGGTGATGTCTGCTTTAGTCGAGGGGGCAGTATCTTCCTCTTTTGGGGGCTGGTGGGCGGTAATATTACCTCCGGGAAGGTGGATAGTTCCTCCGGTAAGCTCTCTGCATCAGATGAGTCTGAGGTGGAGGCCTTGCCAGCTCCATCTTTGCTGGTGCGGGCCTGGTCGGCTGCTGCAGGAACGTGCCGATATCTCAGGTTCACGGGCTCCTATCGGCCCGGAGTTTTTGGGAGCGTTTCCCCATCGTGTGAGGTGCAGGTAAATCCTGTCTCCGGGCACCGGTTGTGGATCTGGTGGCCGATTACAGCCTTTAGCAGGGCTATCGGTCCGGAGTTCCCACAGTGTGCATCCGGCTCGATCAGCAGTTGGCTCCGCCCCCATCCCGTTTATCTGTTTTCTACAGACATTCCCAGCTATAGATCACGAACACCAGCGAGACCCTGCAAATACTTACAGACAATAAAATTAAAGAAGGTTACGTCTGCATTTTACTGTCAAAATAAATAACTGGGAGGGGGCTAGGTGGATAGGTGAAGCACCTTGAATACCCTTTATGGATATGGAATGACAAAAACAACATCATATTTTATTTTGTTCTCCCCCAATGTCAATAAGACACAGAACCATTTGCCATACAAGAGTTACACTATATCCATGGGCGGGGATCATTCCGCTCAGGTGCCTAACTTGGAGCTGCGTCAAAGCTCCAGAAAAGTGTAAGTGTACCTCTTAGTTTTTCTTCTAAATACCTTACTACACTATCAGTCCCTATATTCTCTGTTGTTTTTGTTGTTCCATAAACCACAAAGGACATTCAACGCCCATATTATCTAAAAGCTGAAATTCTGCCTTCTGTTTTCCCTACAAAATAAATAACTATTGCGTCCCATTACATAACCTAAAACTCTCCACAAATCCTGACACTTTCATGCAATGGTTTTGTGACCATTATTTAAAACAGAGCACCTTCTTATAAAGTATAAGCGTGACTTTAAGTGAATTGATCTTCACTGACACTACTACAGGTGTAAAAAGCACCTAGCATGACAATTTTGCAGTAACATGTAAGAGAGGCTTGAATTTAACCAGTACATAATCTACACATAGCTTTTGCCAAATTGCTAGCAAATATGTATTTATTCCATTTTATTATATTTTATTTGAGGATCGACGCTTACGTCCTTGTGTTGTAGCCATATGAAGGACAAAAATGCTTTCTCATACAGGAATTAAGGGACTGCACATTTATTTGTCTACCTACTGAAAGACCTGCATCCAAAACATCAGTTAATTATGTTATTTCAGCCATATACAATATTTACCCATATTTCACAGCCTTGAGGGGTTGGAAAAATAGACAGTAGAGGGCAGAGGTCCAATAAACCAATTCCCCTGCAGGGGAATATAAGCAGTATATATAGAGAGAGGGAGACACTTTGCAGTTGAGAAACATTTTAATCTATTTTATTTATTTATTTTTGGTAGTGATGGTGGTGAGATAAATTTTGAATCCAAATAGTTAAAGGACAACTAAAGTCACCCAGACCACTTCACGTCAATAAAGTGGTCTGGGTGCAGTGGTCCTATGATTTTAACCCTGCAATGTAAAATATTGCTGTTTTGTAGAAAAAAGCAATGTTTACATGGAGAGGTTAAATGCACCTTAAGTGACTGTTTCCCTGAAAGCCACAAGAGGTGCTCTATAGTCAAGATAAACTCATAGAAACAATCTGATTGGCACAGTGTGGCGTTTTGACTCTCATGCTCCCTAGCCTCCCAATGTTTCCCTATGGGAAACATTGGATAAACTGAGATTAGCAATATTAATGATTTCAGCCAAGGAGGGAGAGCGACCAGTAAAGGTAAGCAAAGCTCACCTTTTAATCCCTCACAGCAGTGAGTGGTGGGAGCTGGCTAGCTATTCAAAGGGGATAACTATAGCATTAGGAATATATATTTTTTTTCCTGATGCTTTATGTTCCTTTCACGCATTAAAAACTATATTGTCAGGTTACTAGTGTCTTTTTCACTTTTATGGTTAGCACCGCCTAAAGCGAAGATTTTATACCTAATCAAAAATAGAAAAACATGCAATATGCTGCATTAAGAAATGCCTCCTCTCGTGCAACATGGCTTTTATCCTAGGTCCATGAGAAGGCCTCAGCTATCCATCGGACAAACCATGGGCCCCTGTTAGCCAATGCAAGGCCAGTGCTGTCCAAGGCCTTGCTGTGTGCCATGAAAAAGATCAAAGATTTCCCTCACCAGACCATTGGCACT